CTGTGTCATGGAAGGTTTGATATTTAACGCTTATAAATGCGCAAAACATAGCAAGTAATATGCTTACCTGCAAAGCAACAACAACTCTAAGTGCCGCTCTTCGAAGTTCATCCTGTTTATCATTTTCCTGTTTCACTGCATTTGCCTTAGCTCTGGCTTGTATCTGAGTCTAAATGGTCGAATTATGTTGTATCAGTTTATTTTAACTATAAAAACAGTTCATGCTCGCTAATAACAAGCATAAAAGCTCGTTGACATACGTGTAGTTTGCTTTTTAGTCATGACTAAAAAGCATTATTTGTACGAAAAAAACTTATGTAGCAATTCATTCAAAGAAGAAATCATTGATATGAATACCAGGAAGATATCTAAGATAAAATATACCTTCAACGGTTCGCAAAGATTGTCGAGTCGCTGGAGTACTTGTGAAGGGCATAAGGAAGTTAAGCGTGCAAGCATTAAATAAGTTAACAATTTGATATCATGTTGATCCTAAAAAACGTATAAAAACTCTGACATTAATAGCAGCTATAAATTGCATCTTATCAAGGAATCTTAATGTAGATTATTGTAAGAGTATAGAAATTACTTACTTTGAGACCATTTTCCATATGTGTGATGAATTCAAAGATATCCAATCGTTCCAAACATGTTTCTAATAATGTATACATACTGAAACCATAGAGAATTAAAGTTTAAAGAATAGCGAAAATTTAATCAAATTCCTAATAACAATATGAACCATTCCATATGAAACCTCATGGATTCATATCAACAAAAAGTACAGCAATACTGTTCACCAGTTAAATTGCTTGATGAATTTTATAAAATTTATAAAACTTTTCGCAATAAAACTGACCACTCAAAAGCCGCTTTTCGCAGATCAAGTCCATCATCAACAGTATGCTTAAATGGACCCATCTCAACTTCACGAACCAATTCCTTTTTAACCACTGTTTCGCTGTACAGTGATGGTAAAAACACAGGCAGTAAATCTCTAATCTATAAAAAAGAAAAAACTAAACTTTTAATAAATGAAAAAACGGATACTAACACGCTTAAAGGAATGAAATTTGAAATTCTCAACAAGGACTATGATTATTTTGAAATATGATGCACTAAATGATGAAAATGTTCGCTGAACATAACTAATATCATGGAACAACCGAGAAAGGCTCAAAATGTTAACAACAAAGAAATTACGATTTCAACTATTTACTAAATCAAAACAGCATTTAAAGTTATTGATGGTCCTGCATTGTAGTTAATTTGAAATGACTTTCAGGATACCCGGAGAACTCTTCAAGTTTTCCGAATTAACTTTTTTTTCAGTTGATCTTTCCACAGAAAGCGAAATTATAAAAGCGGTTAACAACTTACCAGCCTGGGTTTGTTATGAGCAGCAGAATTAAAAGCTATCAATGCTACTCGGCGTACATTAAGATCTTGGTCCGTAATAGCATGCAGGAAATGCATCATTGATGATTGCAGTAGATCATCTATAGCTGTCCACTGTTCAACAATTAAAAATTTCACTGCTGTCACCGCTGTAGCACGCATAAACGGATTCGGTGAAATGACGCATTTCTGAAGAATGAAGAGGAAAATGAACTATACCGACAATTTTAGATTTCATTAAATCACCTGTGTGCACCCAAAATGAGTGCAGTCGAGGTCAATAAAAACTGAAATCGGAAATAAAAAATGAAATCCACCTTCAATCGTTGTAATAATTGTTCGGGATGGACCAGACATAATTTGCCAAGGCATTCGGCGACAACATTTCGCGTCCCTTCCTCTCCAGCTGTTGCATGGGTGATCAGAACGGGCCAAATTTGTTCAATTCTTGGGCGGAAAATCTCTATAGCCAGAGAATCACCACTTTCCGAACCAATTACCTAGAAAAATGGAATTATATTAATATAAAACAAAGAGAAAGAATTCAGTAGACTCTTCTGGCGATTAGAAAGATAATCTCATATGAACAAACAATGGAAAGAAATGAAATATATGCCATAACAAACAAATAAGGGACTACTACTGTTCAACCTACAAACAAAAAGCCATATATGTTCTACAGTTGATAATGGAAAACAGTCTGCAACTGTTTTAATAATATACTTTAAATATGCACTCACGCACGCTTTTTTGTTGTTGATTTTCTATAGTGTTGAATTTTGCACTTAGAGAACAGACAAACAAATAACAGTGAACAAATAAAGAATAACTGCACTTCTTTCAAAGCATGCAATAGAAGATATTGGCGCTTTGGTTGCGAGTTGATTTGTTCGAGCAAAAATGGAAGATACTTTTCGAGATTTCCTAAGGCAAGCCTTCCCAATGCATACGATGCAGCTGTTTTCATCTCTTCTGATGTTGTATTGAAAGCATTCACTAATAGCTCTTCTGGCCTAAAGTTCTTACAATTGAAACAAATTTACATTTAAATTTTTCGGTTCCTACCAAACTATCACAAGGTAAGTGCTTGCTTTTCAAAAAAGAAAAGTGAGCGTTGACATCTAATATTTTTGTTTATAGGGAAAAAGACGAATAATAAATGTGAATAATAAACGAATAATAAACGTGAATAATGAACGAATGAATAATAAATGTATTATTATTACAAGATAATCGCATTATGACTCCTCCAACTATTTTCTGATATAAAAAATCATTTACAAAAACCATTTTCCTTTTGCAGAAGAAAAATCAGTACTAATCATTTTATGTGGGAAAAATTTTACAATCTGAATAGTGACAAATCAGCTTTATATCGCCGGAATAAATCTTGTTCGGAATTTACGTGAAAACTGAAAGACAAAAGGATGTGAAAACGGAAAACATACTTCGGTGAAAACTTATCGAACGTTTGTGGACAAGTACAGCCTAATTCACCGATTGCAAGCAAAGAAAACAATCGCACACCATCTGCTGTATCCTTTAACACGACTTGCTCTGATAATTTCTTCGCTAGGTTACGACAACGATTCTGTTCACCAGAAGCAGAAGCAACAACAGCAGTACACGCCGATATGGAGCGATAGGCTTGGCGATGAAGGGAAGTGTTATCGTAAGCTGGAGCAGTCAGCTGATCTAGTAATTCCTGGAAAATGGCCTCCTGTTCAACAAGCAGTTAAAACAAATATCTTGCAAGCTGCGACGTTAGGAAATTTTCTAACTCCATTCCCAATTTAAATTGTTAAAATACCTCGAAAGATGGTTTCTGAGGTATTTCTGCTTGAACCAGCGTTAGAATAAAATTCAAGGAGGCTGCCAGGGTAGCACCCTGAAGTAGAGAACTTTGCAGGAGATTGACGTAAGCCGCAAGCACCTCTGGTAAACTATAAGATATGATTAACGGCTGAGCAACTACTAGATCTGAAAAAACTTTGCAATTTATTAACTTCTGTAAAGAAAATTTTCAATCAAAACAAGCAAATATGATGTCTACAATGTGCATTCAAAATACATTGTGATTTCCCAGGAATCCTTCTCATGCTAAGAAACTTGGAGGGACAATT